GGGGGCCGGAGGAACCAGGCAATGCCCAATGTAATACCCAGCATTCCTCAGTGTGAGGGGGTGCAGGAACCAGGCAATGCCCAATGTAATACCCAGCATTCCTCAGTGTGAGGGGCCCGGAGGAACCAGGCAATGCCCAGTGTAATACCCAGCATTCCTCAGTGTGAGGCGACCGGAGGAACCAGGCAATGCCCAATGTAATACCCAGCATTCCTCAGTGTTGGGGGGCCGGAGGAACCAGGCAATGCCCAATGTAATACCCAGCATTCCTCAGTATGAGGGGACCGGAGGAACCAGGCAATGCCCAATGTAATACCCAGCATTCCTCAGTGCGTGGGGCGGAGGAACCAGGCAATGCCCAATGTAATACCCAGCATTCCTCAGTGTGAGGGGGTGCAGGAACCAGGCAATGCCCAGTGTAATACCCAGCATTCCTCAGTGTGAGGCGACCGGAGGAACCAGGCAATGCCCAATGTAATACCCAGCATTCCTCAGTGTTGGGGGGCCGGAGGAACCTGGCAATGCCCAATGTAATACCCAGCATTCCTCAGTGTGAGGGGACCGGAGGAACCAGGCAATGCCCAATGTAATACCCAGCATTCCTCAGTCTGGGGGGGCCGGAGGAACCAGGCAATGCCCAATGTAATACCCAGCATTCCTCAGTGTGAGGGGCCCGGAGGAACCAGGCAATGCCCAATGTAAAACCCACCATTCCTCAGTGTGAGGGGCCCGGAGGAACCAGGCAATGCCCAATGTAAAACCCACCATTCCTCAGTCTGGGGGGGCGGAGGAACCAGGCAATGCCCAATGTAATACCCAGCATTCCTCAGTGTGAGGGGGCGGAGGAACCAGGCAATGCCCAATGTAATACCCAGCATTCCTCAGTGTGAGGGGACCGGGCGTTGCAGTATGTTCCATGTTCCTCATTGTTTGTCATTCCCCAGCATATGTAGGGTGTATGAAGATAAATGTGGTGGATTCTGATTGGTCGGTCTCTCTGTAGGGCTCAGCAGCTCGCTGGAGGGATTTTCACTCGGCCACTGTGATCGGTAACAAGATGTTTGTTTTTGGGGGGCGCGCGGATCGCTCCGGACCGTTTCACTCCAACAATGAGATCTACTGTAACCGAATCCGAGTGTTTGATCTGATGACGGAGAGCTGGCTGGAAGCCCCTCAGTCTACATTGCCCCCCGAAGGGAGGAGGAGCCATTCGGCCTGTGAGTGAGGGATAAGGCGGTATGTGTACATATAAGTGGGCGGGCAGGCGGTATGTGTACATGTAGCGGGGCGGGGAGGGGGTTGGGGGAG